TTACTTTCAATCGCTAAAGCATCTGAGTCAAGCAAAACTACTGTTATAATGGTCATAAAACGATACAAGAGCTCTCTATCTATCAAGCCAAAAAGAACTGGAAGAAAGATTGGCTTTAAGAATAAGAAAGCAGCAATTAGTACTGCATGATCATTCACGCATAATCCCGGTTAATTGAACAGAGAACAAGCTAAAAGGTATGAAGTTTCAGAGTTTTTTTGTCAGGAAAATTAAGAAGTTTAACAATTTCAAGTCTTATCGAGCAGTTAAATTTCCAAACCGATCAGATAAAATTCAACATGTTTTTTTATTAGGCATGCAACTCCTTTCATTCAAGGATGTTTCATAAATTATCATAAATTACCATGTTCTTTTCCTTGTTTTATTTCTTCTTGAACTACATATTACATTTTGGCCAGCACTGGCTGCTAAAACTCGAGCTTGAAAACTGACAAAATGCTTACAAAATTTAATGGCTGCATAATTATGGATGAAGAAGCGTACACCAAAGGTGACTTCAAACAGTTCCCAGGTCCAAAGTTTTACACTTCAATTGTTCGTAGATGTGTCAGCAACAAGTTCAAGTATAAATCAAAATAAATTTAGTAAGAAACTTCTCTTGTGCCAATATGCAGCTGTGGTTTGAGATCTCGAGCTTTTGTCAAGTTGTCAACTTTAAACTTGGATGTTTAAATGAAGGAATGCTTGCAAGCTAGACCTTTGCCATTTTATTGAAGTCAGGATGCCCCTATTGGTTTTGACCTGATCTTGCTTCTTGTCATTATTCTAAGAAGACCTTGGAGTGGTACAATTTGTGAGACATCAAATTCATTTCAAAAAGTTTGAATTCACCAAACTGCCCACAGTTCTGTCCCACTCAGAAATTTTGAGAAATTGGCAAAGGATATTTACGTAAGAGTAGCAAAACAAAAAAATTACAGCAAAAGATTTAATTAGAGAGTAGGAATTAGTATGAACAAAAATTGCCAAAGACACTGTGCAGAAGTTGGTATCGCCAATTAGCATAAATGTTCGCTTATTTATTCAAAGTAATGAAAAGTATTAGAATAAAAAGCATTTTTATAATCTTTAAGTTCTATATATTAAAATATATGAAGTTTTTGCATTAGTTTGATTATTTTATATATTTTTTTAATTTTTCATTGTTCTGAATTTAACGATCACATGCTTTCTTTGGTATTCAGCCTATTCGGCTTATTCAGCTACTTTTTTTATTTGGTATTCAGCCGATTATTGCAAACTATTTGGCCAAATCTGAATGCCAGATTGTAACAAAAAAAACCAAATAAAAACGGATTACATATAACTCTTTTTTTTAATTTTTAATTTAAAAAATTAATTTGATTCATAAAATCAAAGGTAGTAGATTATTATTAAGAAATTTTCATTGTTTGATAATAGAAATTGATTGCTAATTCCTCTTAAAATATCATACTTTCAAATCATATTATATATATATAATTTATTTTAAATTACTTTTTTTTTATTGAGACATTAAAAACAACTATATTATTTATTTACTAGTTATATTTTGAGACCATTAGATGACCTCATCATTAGACAATTAAACTTAATATATTCACAATAAGCGTTTAAAAAAACTTGTTAAAAAAAAAATTAAATTGACGTCAATTTTTAATCTAAATAAAGCGCATCAATGGTTTCCAAAAACCTGTGTTTAGATATACCATCATCCAAATATATTCCCATTGGTCACCTGGGCTAGTTTGTTGGTACTGTATCTCCAAGGCCTCAAAAATTTATGATCAGTCCAGTAAATATTTCCCTTTTGCATCGGTCCAGTAATATTTTAACTTTTTTTTTTCCAACAAGGCTGCAAGCAACCACTGTTAGAGTTGGAATATACTGGAAGAGAAAAAGATGACGAAGCAAAATAAAGATTGAGACGACTTAAAAGATTGCAAATTATATGAATCAGGAAAACAAGATAATGGAAGCAAATTCCAAAGAACTGATGTTGAAAGAAAAAAACTAGGCAAATAAATATTTTTGGAGCACTTAGGAACAGTCACAGTAAAAGAATGAGAATCATTGAATGACAAGTAACATTAGGATAAATTTTAGTAGATGGCACAAGAGACACTAGCTCTTTAGAGCAATGTCCATTACAGAAATAAGAGACATTACATTAGAGAAAGGAAAGCAACATTGCAACAATGTGATAAGGTTGGCTGCAAGAGCAGGTTCAGCTATGTTATCAATGCATTTTTTTTTATCTTGTTTAAATAAGAAATGGCATCATTGGAAGATCCCAAGATATGGCAACAGTATTCCATACAAGGACAGATTTGAGATTTATAGAAAGAAAGAATAGAATCCAGAGTAAGAAAGTGGTGAGCCTGATAAAGAAATCCAACCTTAGCAGATGCTAATTTTACAATCGATCTGATATATGGTTTCCGAAAAAGATCGAAAGTAAGAGTTAATCCTAATACAAAGGGTAGATGACTTCATCGAGTACAAAAATAAATGGTAGTATCATCAACGAACAATGCCACCTCAGATGTGAGAATTTCTTAGAGATTATTAATGTAAATTAAAAAGAGTATAGGGCTGAGGATAGAACCTTGAGGACCCATGAAGATGCAGGAGATGTAGAAGAGTACTGTTCATCAAGAACAACTTTTATACTATGATTGGAAAGGAAGAATTCAATAATCTTAAAGATGTTATCTGATACACCTCTGAATAGAGCTTATAGAGAAGACCAGCATGCCAAACTTTATCAAAGGCTTTAGAAATGTTGAGAGCGATAGCCTTAACCTCTTCACATCTATCTAATGCATGATAATACCATGTCAAATAGTTAGACCTACAAAAATCTTGACCTATTAAGTTGTTCTACAAAAAGAACATCTACTAAAAAGTGGAACTAATTTTCAGATAACCTACTGAGGCCTAAATTGTTTTTCACTGATTATAGTCTTTTATCTTTAATCGATTTATGACGTTTTCGTTTTTGACCAATTTATTAGATTTTCATTTTCAACCAATTTGAAATTAATTTTCAAACCATTATCTGGTCTGTGTTTTTAATGTCGTTTTTTTTAAAACCTCAAATTTTTATTTATTTAACAATCAATAAGTTTTCCAAGATTGAATCCAAAGTGATGATCAGAAGGAAAGTTATTAGAATTAAGTTAAGGGTTAATTGTTTGTTAATTAAAGACTCAAAAGCCTTCCTATCATAAGCCTTGCTTATGATAGGAAGAAGACTATTTGGGAAGTTAAGCATGTATGTATGTATGTATTTATATATACATATTTATATATATATATATATATATATATATATATATATATATATATATATATATATATATATATATATATATGTGTGTGTGTGTGTGTGTGTGTGTGTGTATATATAAATATTTATATATATGTATGTGTGTGTATATATATATATATTTATATAAGTATAAAGCAATTTTTTTTAATTATTATTATTTCATTCATTGTTTCATTATTTTTTTTATTAGTTTACATATTATAATTATTATATGTTTAACACATTACTATTTTCAACTAGATGTTACTATATTGAAAGACATTTTTCAAAATATTTTATAATGTATCCTTTATGACAGAAGTAAATAGTATCAAAAAGAAAGCTCAAAACTTTCATAAAATTATTTTTTTGATAAAAGAGAAAGTTCTGTCTCTGACAAAAAGATTTTGGTTCTACTTCTCACACTCTCTCCCATGTTGAGTGTATATATAAATAAAGTTATTTATGTTTTTGAATTAGTGGGAAAGGTTTTTTTTCGTGTCTTCTCATTCACCTATAGATCTGAAGTCAAAGTAATAAACCAATTATTATGAACAGAAAGCTTTTAAAACCACAACTGCTAATAGCCTTCCAAGCATAGAATTTGCAAGTGAATTTTTTCAACTTAAATGTACTTAAATTATTTTTTTGACTGTGATGTTATTGATTACCTGCAAGCAACAAGTGAGTTTTTTACAGTTTTTTTCAAGTCTTTAAACATGCTCTTCTCAAAGTAACTGGTGCAAATATACAGTGTAATTAAATGTGAACCCTAGAAGAAAGTCTTTTTTCGAAGAAAGTCTTTTTTTTACTTCTTTGTAGTGTAAATTATTGTGTTTTATATTATAAGTATTAGCAACTTGGTTTTGCTTCATAAAATTTACCAATAAGAGAACATTATTATTAATATCTTCATCCATGATTTCTATTTTTATCTTTATTTAATCAGAATCAATTTAGTTTATTATCCCAATTTTATACAAAATTGGCATGACAGTATTATAAAAAGTTGATTTCCTTCCAAAATATCTTCAATTGATATTTTTTACTTAATTTTAAATTTTTTTGATTATCCCACTTTGTACTTAGTATAAAATTTATCACTCTTTAATCTCTTTGTGTTTCTCTAAAACCAACCATTCGAATAAACTTTTTAGTTTATGTCAAGAAAGACAAGTGACAGCTGCAAGAGTAAATGTTATCTTTACAAAAGATTTTTTTTTAATAAGTTTAAATACAACCACACTTTAAATTTTATTTTTCAAGAACACTCTTCCCCTAAATATTTTTTAAGAATGCTCTCTATTTCCCTAAATATTTTATTGCAATCTTATACCAAATTTACAATTGCTTGACTAGTTTTTATAATAAAACAGTGTTATGTTAGGAATATTCATATTATTTGCGTTGTCATTCATAATTGTATTTTTATAGATAAACAACTTTTTATAGTGTTTTAATTATTATAGTTTATCATGAACTATCATTTTTTTGTAAAGTTTTTTCTTATTTTTCTTTATTTTGTTTGACATTAAGGGGGTCAAATATTTTACGAGGGATCTCAAATGTTATTTGGCGCAACTTTTATTTTGATGATGTATTATTTTGATATGGTTTATTTATTTTTTTAATTTATTATTTGTTCTTAATCAATAAATATTTACAACAAGTTTATCATTGTTTTTAGAATGAAAATGAAGTTGATAACGTTAAAGAATTTCAAAAACTCCAAAAAAAGTATAATGAGCTTAATTCTCATCATTCAAAAGAGACAGATAACCTTAATAATGAAAACAGTCTTTTAAAAGCTGCAATGCAAAAGTCTCGGAAAGAAATTCTGGAACTATCAGAGCAGATTGAGCGTTTAAAAGATTCTATAAAACAGAAGGATATACATTTTGATGCTACATTAGAGTTAGATAAACGTATTTATGAAATATCAGAACAAAATGATAAGTTACGTAAAGTGAATTTGATGAAAAATAAAGACGAGGAACTTATTAAGCCGTTTGACGGTTTAAAGTTAGTACATTTTGATTTGAAAGGTGCTCCACCCAAAATTGACTACCTTATTAGAATGATGAAGTTTTCTAAAGAACTAGGAGCTAATGGGTTTTTAATTGAATATGAAGACATGTTTCCGTATTCTAATGATCTAGCATATTTAGCTCGTCCCAATTGTTACTCTAAAACAGATATAGAACTCATAGTAAAAACTGCTCAGAAAGAAAAGTTGATAATTATACCTCTAGTTCAGACTTTTGGTCATCTTGAGTTCGCTTTGAAACATGAAAAACTGCAACATCTTCGTGAAAATAAATTGATTGCCAACTCAGTTTGCCCTTTGAATAATGATACATATGTGTTTTTAAAAAATATGATTTATCAAATTCATTCTGCTCATCCGCATTCAAAATGGATACATCTTGGTGGGGACGAGGTATGGAATATTAAAACATGTGACAGATGCATAAAATCTCCATTGTCAACTGATGAGTTGTTTACAGATCACATGATGAAGTTATTCAAATATACTAAGAGTTTCAAAACATTAAATAATGAAATGGTTGAGCCTGTGATTTGGGATGATATGTTACGTAACTGGTCAGTTGAGAAATTGAAAATAATTGCAGAACACGTATCACCTATGGTATGGGCGTATGAAGCCGAACTAAAAGATTACCGAAAATTTCCTGAAGATATGTGGGAAAAATATATAAAATCGTTTCCGTTTATTTGGATAGCTAGCTCATTTAAAGGTGCTCTGAAAGCATGGTCTGACTTTGTTCCTATAAAACAACATTTAGAAAACCATTTATCTTGGTTGAGGATAACATCTAAAATGCAATCAACTAGCATGAAAATTTTAGGTATAGCATTAACTGGGTGGAGTCGGTATGATCATTATGGACCTTTATGTGAACTTTTGCCTGCTGGAATACCATCTTTAGCATTATCATTAGCTGTGCTAAATAACGGTAAGTTTGATGTAGAACTTCATAAAACAGTTTCCAAAAAATTAGGTTTCAACGAAACATTCAAGATTAAAATTGATCGTTTTAATACTTATAAACCAGAAATAGCCAGTTATGATGGCGGTGACTGCTATTACTTAGTAGGGTTATTAGAAAACTCTTTAGGTTGGAAAGCACTAGCTGAGGCCCGTGAAATAGGTTGGACACGTCCATTTCAAAGTCGTTTAAAGCATGTAAGTTATTTTCATTTAAACTTTACAAGAAATGCTTTGAATATTAGCAAAAACAGCATATTAGAGGTTCAAAGTAAAGCTAGAGAGGTACTAAACAAATATTTTGATTTGGAAACAGTTAATGAATGGTTAGTTGATAAAGTGGAGTATCAAATTAAACGTATTGATAGTTCCATTAAAAAAGTTTCACGTATATTAGACAGTTTTTAATGTGATTCATCTTTTATAATTTTAAATAAACACAAAAATAAAATGATTGGTTGAATTGGAAGTCAGTTTACTGGATGAATCGGACAGTTTACTGGATGAATCGGACAACTGGAAGCGCAACATTCATTTTGAGCCTGTTTCGACGTTTTGAAATGGCTTCTATTAGCTAAGGCTAGAATTACATTTTTTTGAATTATTTTTATACTTGGTACTATTCTGGTACTAAATATTTTAAAATAAAGAAGGTTTTTGATTTGTAAATGTTTAAAATTACTGCATAAAAATATTTTTGTTACTTGTGTGGACAATTTTACTAGTAACGGGCGTAATTTGAAGAAACATTCATCAAACATTAACTCAAGTAATATTTATCTTTTTCGAATTATTTTTCGCTCCTCTTCTCTCATTCTTCTTCCGAACTGTTTTTAAAAATTTTAATTTTTCCAATTTGGAATCTTCTCACTTCCTAAAATAAAATGAAAAAAATCTCAATAAGTAACACATTCGAGTTTTTTTTTTTTTTTTGCTTTTTTTTTTTACAAACAAAAGTGTTATAAAATTAAATCGCACCCTGTAAAATTCATAATCAAAAATAATCAAAAAATCTGAAAGAGCCTCAAAAAAACTTCTATGGAAGCACTATACATTATGAGTAGGGGAAAGGCGCCTATGATGGCATATCGGTCATATTTCCATAAAAGTTAGTTTTGGTGAAAAAGTGATTAGACCTACATAACTATACTGACCTTACATTAGTTTTAGTGAAAATACGTCCCTTGTACACAAATATTATTTTTATAATCAACAAAGGATTTTGGGATGTGCTATTGTAGTTTTATTCCCTTCATATATTTAAGATTGTGATTTTATTACTGTGCAGAAAGGGAATGTTGATGCATATTTTATCCAAGTTTTGTGCATTTAGTGGAATTAAAGTAATTACTAATTACTTTAATTTTATTTTTTGAACAAGGGAGACACAGCTTGTTTTAATGAAAATGATGACTTCTTATGATGGCATACTGACATGTTGGGTGTGTTGAAATATTGGCGAGTTGGGTAAACATTTTTTTTTTAATAAGAAAAACTTATTTTAAGTAAAGTAAAAAGAAAGCCATGCTCCAAAGGTTGTTTTTTTTTGTCCAAAAAATGGATAAAACGCAGTATATCCTATGCGCAATCGCGAAACTTTACAATGCTGCTGTGTAGCATGAAATGGTAAAGGCCGTATTCCACAAGACGAAATATTCATGGGAAGCGATTTTTTTCGCTATGACGAAACGCTGTTTTGATTTCTTTCGCGCTACTTTTTTTCATTGTCAATAATAAAAATGGCAGCAATAAGTTTACGGAAAACGTTAAATCCAACCGTCAAAGTGCTGTTTGAACAGTTTTTAAAAAGTCTAGACCCGATTACGGCATTTACAATCTGATATAAATTAGGGATGCACCGAACGTTCGGCTGTTTTGCCGAACGTTCGGTTAGGCCGAACATTTGCTAAAAATGCTAATTTGGAAATTAATATCATCAAATCATCATAACTCAGCCTAAATAGCTACAGTACTAATAGATATGGTTTTTTATTGAAAACCCGATTCTTATCTACAACGCATAGTAGGTAAGAATATGTTTTTCAATAGAACACATGAGTACGTTAGATTTACATCTTGTTTTTGGCATGTATTATTTAAAACCAAATGTATTACGTAAAACTAGTTTACATCATTTAGAAAAAATAGTAGTTTAAGTGTAAAATGAAAAATCCTTTCAATTGAGCAATATTTTAGTTAATTTTATATACAATAATAATAATAATTAAACTTAACTTAAGTTATAAAATTCATGCAAGAAGCAAATTTTTTATTTAGGAAAAATCGCAAAATTGTAATAATATAAAAAAGACTTTATAAAGAAAATTGCTCGTAATTTGGCTACTCAACTAGTTAAACTGAGAAAATTATTTGAAAGGAATAAACTTAGGGGAAAATGTTGTGGTGATCAAAAACATAAAAATGCTCCAATTTATTATGTAGTTATTACTATACAACATATACTATTATGTTATTATTATATAACTAAACATGCAATAGTATTAACACTAGACAAATCAACAATTTTAAACTTTCACCTAACAAAATAATCGGTTATTAAAAAAAATAAAACATTAAAAACATGAGTGAAAATCAATTTTCATTTGTTGTCCTAAAGTTATAATGAATAAACATTAATTTTTCGCCACTTTCTGGTGATAGTCTGTTTCTATTGGTTCGTAATATTGATCGTAAATGATGCCACCTGTACTAAAAGGTCTTTCACTTTCAACAGAAGATGGTGGTGCTAAAAGAAACTTTTAGGTAATTTTCTTTAAATTTTTAAAAGAGTTTCCACAATTTTTCCACCACAAGAGAAGACTTTCTTTTTCCTTGACAAGAGGAAGCTTTAAATACTCTTCAATCTCCTTGCTTATCATTTGTATATTAGAATTTAATCTTTTTAACCTTTTGCTATTTTCAGTATTTACAAAATTGGAATCACATTCATCTATAGTTATCAGTTTAGAAACTTTCTGAAAACATTCATTGAATTTTGGATAAGCTTTACAATTACTTCATTTGTGTTATGTACTGAAGGTTCGTCAAAATCAGAATCAGAAGATTCAAGTTCTAAATTACTTTGTTGCATTTCTTGCATCTGTTCATTTATCCAATTTTTTATTTTATCCTTATTATCCTTTTAATATGTCAATTTATATCTAGGGTCACAAAAAGTGGAAAGACATAAATATTTATCATGTAAATATGGACCCAATTTTTTGTCTACTGACCCACTTAAATGTTCAACTAAAGTATTTATTGTTAAAAAAAGTCTCACATACTAATGCTTGATTGAAAAATTCTTTCAGAGCCATAATTGATGGAATAACATCTGACAAATATGATTCACGTTTACTGAAATTAATGGTTAAAGTTTTAAATGGTTCTAAAATATGCAACACTTTATCTAATAAGTCCCATTGAAATGAATTTAGTGTTGATTGGGTAGGATAATCTGCTGTATAAGTTGCCAAAGGAACTTTTTGATCAAGCATCCTTTCAATCATATCATAAGAACTGTTCCATCTTGTAGTAATATCTTGGATTAAACTGTGTTTGTTTGTACCAAGTTGTTCCTGAATTGCTTCTAATTTTGCTGCTGCTGTTGGGGAATGGTGAGAATGAGTTGCCAGACGTCTGCAACAAGCTAAAATATCCTTAACAGATTTTTGTGACAGAATTGAGTCATGTATACATAACTGTATTGTATGTATAAAACATGGCATTGATCTAAAACCACTGTCTCTTACACCAGCTACCATATTGGCCGCATTATTTTGTAAAACAATATGAATTTTTGAGTGTGGAATTTCAAAACTTACTAAACCTTTATGTAAATACTCACTTATGTTTTTTCCTGTGTGACTTTCTGGAAAATGCATAACTCTGAGTACTGCTCTGTGCTACGAAAATTCATTACTGAGCCTATGTGCTGTCATGCTTATGAAGGCAACATTTGAACTATGTGCTGTCCAAATGTCAGTTGTAAGAGATATAAATGGCAGCAGATATATTACTTTTGATAGAACTAAATAGTTTATTATATATTTGTGGAACAATGTTTTCACTAAATATCTCCTACTAGGTATTTAATAATTAGGACACAGCTCTTCAATTAATTTTCTAAAACCAAGATCTTCTACAATCGAATATGGTTGAATGTCCAACGCCATCATTTCTCCAATGTGATTGTGAATTTTTATAGCTCTTTGATCATATACATCCCACAGCTTTTTTTTATTAAGACTCTCCAGTAATGTTAATTGTTTTTTTAATTCAGAATCACTTGAGGTAGAGACTGTAGATGTTTCAATTTTTTTTTTGTCAGACTCTTTTTCAGCTATTTTATATTCTGTAAATTTTTTAAATGACGTCTAATTGCACTAGTGGTGAATGTTTTAGGACAATTCCCACCTCTAGAAAGTAATGCTTTTCATAGTAGGCAAATACAAAAATGATTATCTTTCTTTGAAACTTCAAAATATTTCTAAACAGTACTTTTAAATTTTATTTTTGAAGACATTTTTTTATACTTCTAAATAATTGAAAGTATATACTAATAAACAAATATAGTTTAAGAAAAAAATATAATCTCAAAAGATGCCAGATACTAGGTTTTAATACCTTATACTAATACCTTTATTTTTATTAGGTAACTTTTATATTTGTAGAATAGAGTACAAATTTAGCTTAAGTGTTATAACATATAAGCTAAGCTTTTAGTATAGTCTACAATATAAAAGTTAGCTAAATAGCTTAACTTTAAGCCTTAACATTAACAATTAATAATTATTAAAATAAATCAATAACGTAAAATCTTTTTTAAGAAGTTTTATTTATAAATTACAATATGATTTTATGATATTATAATTGTTAATTATTTATATTCCTCATTAATAAGTTATACTCATTATTAATAAGTCATAATTTTAATTTTTCATTTTTCAAATAAAAATATCTTAACATTTTTACTTCTTTACACTGCATTGTAGTGTAGTGACTACAAAGAATCATCTAATAATAAATTTACTATTGATAGTTATTTAAAGTTTCTTCACATATTTTCAAAATAAATCTAATGTTTTAAAAAACACATTAAATTTTGAAAAATATAGTTTTAAAAATATTTTTGACGTAAACCAATGTTTGTATTTAAAAAAAGCAAAAGTTCGGTATTCGGTTCGGTGTTCGGCCGAACTTTCATGGCCGAACGTTCGGATTCGGTGTTCGGACAAAAGCCGGGTTCGGTGCATCCCTAATATAAATGTTATCAAATTGATATTAAACAAAAATATTATTAATAATGACATGATTAATAAGAAATATTAAATACAAATGTTATTAAATGTTATTAAAAATCTCAGAGATTCTTTTGTTTTAAAGTACAACTATTTTTCCTTTGGAGATTGCATCGGTCAGTAAAATTTAGATTGCATTTTGAAGGATTGGATTTAGTTTCCTAAGTTTACGCTGTATGTTTAGCTAAAAGCAATTATTACTTTTTTAGCATGACATGAACATTTCTATTAAAAAACTGTTACTGCAAGAACGAACAGCAGGTTTAACTCCACGTAGGGTTTTTCACAAAAAGATTTATCTTCTTGTGGTTACTTGAAGATAAACATTCTTATGAAGTGTAACTTTCGTAATTGACAGTGTGAAAATTTATACTTGTAAATTCTCAATTTTGTTTTATGTATAAGTCTTGTCATTTTTTTTTCTTGCTCCTTATTTGATGAATTTACTCATGCTTGCCAATTTTCAGAGTAAGTTCATATAAAATTAGTAAGAACGCCAGGTTAAGAATTTTGTTTTTTGTTACTAAAAACAACATGCTATCGCTTTTTTTTTACTGTTGACATCACGTGATATTTAAAGCTTGATTGGTTTTCGCTTGTGGCGATTCGCAAAAAGCCAAAATGTATCCGACTTTTTTTTTCGCTGCAGCGAAACGCTGTTGCGTCAAAAAATCAGCATAATTGCCAAAAATGTTTAATCTGCGCATGCTTATCGACGAAAAAATTCGCTTCGCGCGAATATTTCGTCTTGTGGAAAACGGACTTAATTTAGGATGATTCCAAGTAATTTCTGGCTTTTCTGAGGGAAGACTCTAAGATTAAATGAAATCATCAAGTTACCCTTGATTCTAACCAGCCCTATACTCCCCTATGTTATCATAGGAGCAGTGGTTGCCTATGGTGGCATACTTGTGCTTTTTTTAAAAAATAGGAATAACTTATAGAAAAAACAAAACTGATGAAAAATCCGAAGTTTATTATTGTTCTACTTGCAACAAGGAATGTATCCATATCAAAGCTTTTATTAATGGTTTTCAGGATACTGAATAATGAAGCTTCAAAGTTAAGTATGCCATCATAGGCGCCTTTCCTCTACATTTAGAGGTGGTTTTTTTTTTTTTTTTTTTTTTTTTTTTTTTAAATCTTTTTATTTTGTCGGAGCAAGAACGTATGAATAGATTGACGTTAAACTTTTTAATATCAAAGGCCATTAACTGAAATCGCGCGTTATAATCTTTAATGTTTTTTTTTTTTTTTTTTTTTTTGAAATAGTTTTATGATATAAACCGATATTTATCCTTTGTTAGACATTTTTACTTTGTTAACTTCTTTAGTAAAAATTGTATTACCCGCAAAACATTACCATTCGGGAAATACATTTTATGTAGTTAAGAATATCTTGTGTATTTGAAAATGTTTTACCAACTTGGTATGTAAGCTTTGTTAGATAAAAAATTATTTTTAATAAAACTTTGACGTCAAAAATGTTTTTGCAAAAATGTAACGTGCTCAACCTAGTTGAGGCGAATAAGTAAAACTCTTTTCTTATGCTTTTTCTCTTTTTTGCAACAACAAAATTCAACTCAGAACCCCCACATTCAACATTAGAACTGCAACAACCATCCATCAAATTTGAATTAGTTTCTTTCATAACTAAAACTTGTTTAGAATTAATAATTGAGTTTCGTGGAAAAGGTTTTCTCTTTTTTGGTGTTGCTATGGTGTTAGTAGAGATTTTTAAAAACAAAGTTGGATCAGGATTATCTTTTGTAGGTTTTTCTTCGAGGAAGTGATTCGAACAAACAAAAAAGTTTTTAGGAACAACAAAATCTTTTATACTAGTGCTACCATGATATATCATGCATTTCTTCTTTCTTTACATGTTGGTAACTTGTGGATGTCCTATACATTTTGCTATGACTTGATGTTGCATACTAGATATTATTTACTAAATGCTTTTATCTTAAAAAAAAGAAATAAAAGTATATTAACTAGTTTTAAACTGAATTTTTTATAATGAGATCAAACAATTCACTGTAATAAAATGTTACAATAACTAATTTTTTATAATGAGATCAAACAATTCACTGTAATAAAATGTTACAATAACTAATTTTTTATAATGAGATCAAACAATTCACTGTAATAAAATGTTACAATAAAATTTCAACAATAAATTTCATAGCAACAAAAGCTCTTGCAACAAGTTTAACATTTTTTCCTTATAATTATAAACCAAGAGTTAACTAATAATCTATGAGTTATCCTGGTAATGTCAACTTAGCTCACCCATGACGCCATTTATATGAAAGCATAGCATACACATCAATGTGCAATTTGATGCAAATTTTGAAAATTTTTTAATTTTGTCTGCGGAAAAAAAAGTTTAATTTTGAAATTGAGTGAAATTTTGATTTCACAGTGCGCCAATAAAAACACCTGTAGAATAAGAACCAATCCATATTTATGATAAAAAATTGGTACAAATGTAGCCTATAGTCACACTTAAGTCAGGATAAAACTTCAGTCTAATTGTTAACTAGTTAAAGACTTTCTTTTAACATTGTGTTTTTTGCTGCTTATACCTTAAAACGTTACCGATGTGATATTCGGTATTTTTAAAATAACGGTTACATGATTGTTTTTCTATGTAATACGAACAATTTTTATTATAATTGTGTTATTAGTATGTGTAACATTTTCATTTCATAGACCAAACTATTGATTTGTTATTGAATGCGTGTTTTGAATTGGCTTATGCAAAGCATCAGTGTATCAACATTTCCTAAGGTATAAACTGCCTCCAAAATGAAAAAAAGTGCAACACATGGTCAAAAGGTAAAACAAACAAAAAAAGTCTCTGTTAACGAATTTTTTATTGACTCTTGAAACATACTTAAATTTACTTTCAAAATTAAGAGAAAAAATAACTATTTAATAAATAGCTCATTATTATCTTTTAGTAAAAATACTCTATTATACTATTTTGAAATGTAATTTCAAATTTGCAAACTTCATAGTTTTGAAACATCTAAGGATGTTAAAATTGATCATTATAAACCGTAACTATAAATTCCTACTGTCTAATCTCTGATAATTCAAATTATGCTAGCAGTTATTTAAAAATGCTATCTGTTCAGATCAATTATGCAGCGCAACAATCTTTCTCTGTATTCTTGATGATTGTTTCGTTTATACTTTCACCAATTTTAATAAAAATATTGATGAACAGTTTCAACAGGTTGTTTACTATACGACTCCAAAGGGGATTGTTTGTAACTGATGAAATCCTTGATGTGGTGAAGACGGTGTAAGTTTTGTATGTTACATGTGTACGAGTTATAATGATAACTGGTGCACATCTAACATACAACACTCACATTGTTTTCTACCACGTTAAGGATTTTATTAGTCACTAACAATCCCTTTTGGAGTCCTATATTAAACAAACAAAAGTAAAGTAACAACTTTTAAAATTTTTGAATCTTTTCAGCGAAATCCAAAATATTTGAGTCTAAAGTAAGTCCAAAGAAAGCCTTGATAACTATATTGAAACATTTGAATGCTTCAATATTGTGAACGATGTTGAGAAACATGTTTGTATTAGCAAGTTGCTGCAGCACATCTACATTTTTTATAAGTGACCTGCATTTATTTCCCTCGAACTAGCTCTCATGATATGGACTGTTTACGAAGTCAACGCCTTATCCAAATATCCTAATATGTTAAACACGAGTTTAAGTATAAAAACAATCAATATACTTAATTTTAAAATTATCCTTTTTTTTCCATATAAAAAATAAACTTAATTAAAATGAACTAAATTAATTGACTTATTACAAAACTAGTTATTGAATATTGTATTGCTGTCAAGCAAGGGGCCATCCACAAAGTACGTACGCAGGTATGGGGGAGGGACGCGGTTTCCCAAAAGCGTACGAAAGCATACAAATGGGGATGGGAAATTAAAGACAATGAGTACATACGCGGTTTGACAATACTCTCCTAAACATGATTTTATTTTCTTTAAAACATTGAATTTCACGTGTGTAACAAATCAGAATTGTGTTTTTTTTTCTGACTTCAATCATAATTTTTTTTTTTAACTTCTTTATAAATAATGAGGAGAGAGAAAAAAAATCGAGTTAATTTTGAAAAAACCAATAATGCGTACGTACGCGGAGGGATGGGGTCTTCCCCCCCCTCCCTCAAGATTATGTATGCAAAATTGCTATTGCATTACCAAGCAGATCGAATAGGCCAAATGTACAAGACTAATATCAATATCAGAGATTCTTTGGTACCACAAGGACTGTGTTTACAGTGTAGAATGTTTGTGTAAAACTTGTTAAATATATACTTCCTGAAATCTATCTTATTTCTTAATACTCTTGGCTCCAGTGTCTTTGCCAGTTCAATTGAGTGAGAGGTTGTTGTGGTGGCGGTGAGCTGGTTTCATCCCATAACGCATATTCGACGATGCTTACACAAAAATTGAGAGAACCTTTGCCACCATCAAATAATAGCTTAACAAAATAACAATCAGATATTTTTTCAAGATTGAATAACAATATTTTATTCAAAATTGATTACACGTTCCCAATCTCCAACAAATACACGTTCCCAATCTCCAACAGTCATACGCTTATGATTTTTTATTGGTTGGAAACTTTTTATTGGTTGAAAACTTTACACATTTTTTTCCCGTTGTGAATGCTCCAAATGCTGTTAAAGTATTTTTACTTCTGAAATTTAGCTTGGACTTATGTCCTTACCCTCAGGCCCGTAGCAACCGGGAGGGGGGGCCAGCACGACTTTGTAATAATAATGCCTTAAAATTACTTTGTAATAATAATGCCTTAAAATTACTTTAAAATAACTTTGAATACAGAATATGTGGAAAAACTGAGACATATTTATTATTGTGGCCAGGGACTGTATCTAGTCTTATTTTTGTGAAAGCACAAAAATAAAAGTGAAAGCACGCAAGCTTTTGATTTTCATTATGTATCTTTGCTTGATTTGTTATTATGGAAATTCAAACTCTGCCTCATAAAAAATTTAACCTAAATTTATATTGGATAACAATCCACTTAATATGCTAACAAATATTATTAAAAACTTTTAAAATCAAGGAAATATTCACATAAATTAAAAAGTTTACATTTTAAAACGTTCATGTTGACAAAAGACTGCAAGTATGGTAGTCAAATGCGTACATACAATCAGTGAGAATTCATTTTGACATTTAACGAGTGAATGTCAAGTAAATTTCAGGTGTTTATATATAAACGTTTACATGCAGTAAAAAATTAGGAAACTTGGATTAGAGTTGTTGGTTTAATACCAGCAGAAAAATGTTTTGGTTTGAAAAATGTTGACGTATTAATGCTGAATAATAAAGGCATTGCTACATTGAACTAATGAACTTTATGTGATGCAGGTTGTGATTTAGCAATTTTAACCATCATTTTTACAACATCTACTAAAAAAAGCTTGAAAGGAAACTGCGATGACAAGAACAGTATTGAAAGTGACAATGATGATACGAGTACTGCCGATGACGCAAATATAACCAATGATAGTTAAAAAAACCTTTCAGGTTCTAAAAACCAGATAGGTTTTTAGTACCAGTCCGGATCAAGATTAGTATAGCCATCAGGCTATACTAATCTTTCTCTGTTTTGTTTTGTTCTGGTGGTTATTAAGGTTCTTTTTTTTTTTTTCAAGGTCTTTAAAACTTCTTTTTAAATTTCCTTTCGAATAGGTTATTAAAGTGCTTCAAGTAGTCTTTACAGACGTATCACCGAGCACTGCGAATCAACATTTAACCAAAAAGTTAACGCCTCCTTCCTTGCCAATGTCGCTTGTCAAGCCTGAGTCAACATCGAACCTCTTGGTTCTGAGCAAGAACTTCAACCACTGCGCCACGGCTGCTTTCATGGTTATTTGTTAAGATGATGAAAATCAGCTTCACACTTTTATTATAAAGTATAATTTATCAAATCTTGAATAAAAGTGCTGAACTTATTTTATTTGAAATAAATGATTTGTGCGACTGTAATTTACTATAAAATGAGTGAAGTCTTTATATTTTTTATTACTCAATAAGTTATACGTATATTTGAAATTGCTGATGTTGAAAAATGATAACGATATTAAATGCAATAATTTTAGCAGTCTTTGGTAAAAAATATTTTAAGTGGTGCCTTGGAAAAGATCTCCTGGTCTTCTTTTTACTTTTCGCGTTCTACACTTTTTTTTATATACGAATAAATAATAGATATAAAGGAATAAATAATAGAAATAAACTTTGTATTTGAGGAAAAAAAAAATTCAGTTATTAAATGACATTCGAAATTGCAGTCATTTCGAATCTTCAAAAGAAACTTGATTAAGTAGTGATTATGAAAAGAAGTTATTCCCAGTAAAATAATTTTATAAATATAGAAAAAACAGTAAATTAATTTATAAATAATTTATAAATTGCTATAAGAAATAATCATACAAATTAGATTTAAGATTAAATTTCTGTTGTTTTTTTTTTGAGTAAATTAAAAATTTTTTTAGTTGTTTTATATTTTTTCAAATCAATTTTTAAAAGCATTTCAAACATAAATAGCTGCTTTTTTTCGAAAATTTTTTATTTTGCTTTTTTTTATTACCACGTCGACTTTTTGACGGATTAACTTGTTGCAAGTTTTAATTTCCCAACTTTAAATTTTGCGTTTTTCGAACCTAACTATTATTTGCTTCAAAATAAAATTTTGAACACAGAGTAACTACTTTTCTACACCTTTTTTGAGGAAATATGACGCCATGAGACATTCAGTTACAACTTCGATATTATAAATGTTCGGTAATTACTCCGTCTGACCAAATAAAAAATTACATACGAAAAGTATATACATACTTTGACATTTATTTCATCAAAAATACAATGCAAAATATGTTAACTTTTTCACACTTTTAAAACTAGCTATTTACTTTTTCAATTTCAGGGAAAACACCATTCTTGCCTTTATAGTCAGAAGGCATCGGAGATTTCATAACCACTTTAGTGTACGTATGATTAACCAGTGTTTTCAACCAAGTAACCATAGGCGATTTTTTTATTTCTTCGTTAATTATGCTATACCAAATGTGCTCAATTTTAAAGCGTTCGACTTCAAGCTAAATGATAGATTCAACTACTTAGATACTTAAGACAAAGGTTTTAACATACAAAATTCAATTTTACCTCTTGTTCGCTCCAAGTAATTGGTTTATGTAAGCCATCGTTACAATGTTTTTCGTTGTAATGATTATAAAAGACCTTAAAAATAAATTTTAAGTAAAAATCTTTCAAAAAAGTTTATATGTAACATGTAAAACTATATATAACATTAAACACAAGGTTAAATACCTTACAAAGTAATAAACCTAGTCCAGGAGCTTTCGGAATATCTGCCTAAATCAATTAAAAAACATTAAATTGCAATTTTTCATACTGATATTTTCATTTTATTTTCTCATTTTATTAAAACTTAATGCTATAAATTAATTTTTACTAAAAAAAACAAAAAAATTAAAACAATTGGCTTAATAATTTAGAAAAATACTTTTGCTTGAAGCCAACTTTTTTCAATAGTGTCTTCGGGACAGTGGCCGCGACACACTGCAATAACAAGCCCTAAATAATAATAATAATAGTATATATATATATATATATATATATATATATATATATATATATATATATATATGGAATAAAAATAATAAAATCAATCAAAAATAACCGGTAATTTTATGATTAACATAAAAATCACAATAAAAATATATAAAATAATAACCAATCATCTTTCTAATTTGATGAATCATAAAACTTTGACCAGATATCTCAATTGCTATGAACTCGTGACCCTGACATTCAAATGGTTTGTTTGCCTGAAGAAAATAGTTCAAAGAGAATAAAAAATTAGGAAAATTTAATAAAATCTATTATTAGCGGCGCAGAACGACCCCATTTACAGACTGAAAGAAAAAAATGTTTATATGTAAATTATATTAAAAATTACCATTCATTATTTATATTCATTATATTAACACACTAAAATAATTCACATTTACCATAACATGTTAATGCTTGCTGACAACTAGCAATGCTTTTATTAAAATGCCAAATTTTGACTTTCAGTTTATAATTTACTAAATGACATATCTTAAAACAAAATTACAAAACAGAGAAAGTAAAACTCAGACCTTGAAACTAATAATGTATCTGTTAGCACTTTGATCTGAAAAAGGTCTTATAAAAAATTAACAACTTTAATTTCAAGAAATAACTCAAAAAAATCACCAGAAAAATGAATAAATAAAAATAAAAATCAATAATAAACAATTTCACAAACAATTATAAGTTAATAATTAAAAAAAAACAAGTAAATAAAATTTTACTCTTACTTTCCACTTGTGAAATTATGAAAATTATGCGTTCCTTCGTAACATGAAAATAGTCGATTTAATTTCGCAAATTGTTCATCTGAAATGAATTTCTCAATTTTAAATCATGTTTATTTTCTATTAACTCACATCCAAAAAATTTTAAATAGCCAAATATGCAAATCGGACATATTTCAAAAATACCTGAAATCCTATATGATGGAGAAAAAACCTAAAATAAAATTAATTTATAAAAATTGAGAAATGAGACATTCATTCATAAAATTAAAAAAAAAATAAAAACAACAATGTTTTGGTGTTATTTTTTTATTTAAGGAATGTAAAAAGTTAGATGATAATAAAATATTAATTTTATTAACAACAATCTAATTTTGTTACCAACAATCTAACTAGTGAACATAACAACAATCTAACTAGTGAACTTAACAACAATCTAACTAGTGAACTTAACGACAATCTAGCTAGTACACTTAATGACAATCTAACTAGTAAACTTAACAACAATCCAACTAATAAACTTTTGTACCTGTAAACAAAAACAAAAAAATTTACATCATTGGATGGAGCAAAAGCAAATGAAGGTACTAAATATTCATAGGCACGGCCTGAACAACAACACTTTGCATTAAAACTTTTTGTAACTCTTTCCAAACCTGTAAAAAAAAGTAAAAAATTATAAATTAAGTAAACATTTAAAAAGGATTTTACCGAAAAAAAGGCTTCATATACCAAAAACACGAATGTCATCCGGCAGTAGTTTATTCACATCTTCAAGAAAAGTGTTTGATGCTACAAGGTAAATAACATTTTAAAGTTAAACTATGATATTTGCAAAGAAAAATTAAAATGATTAGCTAAACATTATAGTGACACTTATCTTTAAAGAAACAGTTTGACGTGCTGCTGATACACCTTTGTCAGTACGAGCTGCTCGCTGGAAGCTTATCTAAAAAATAAAATAACTTATAAACAAACTTATTAGACTGAAAAAAGATAAAATTGATTCAGTAGGTAAAGTTGTCTCTTAAGGGAGTGGGAGATAAACCACACTACATCCCTGTCATACAGCACTAAATTTGTTTATTCATAAAATGGCAACACTCATAGGAAAAAAAAATTTTCTTATATATTAAAGCGATAAAAATATAAAAAACAACAACTAAGAAATATATTGTCGAACTTAATAGTTTTAGTAGTAGAAAAAACCCACAAAAGGCAGCCATTGCAACCGAGGTAATAGGGAAAAAGAGTCTCAGCACTTTTTGTTATAACAAAACATGAAAGAAAGTGTATGCAAATATCCAACTTATGTAAACTTCAAATTATTTAGTGTAAAAACTAAAAGATATATCAAGTTTTACAGTTTTACTTTCACTTGAAAACTGCATTGCAGCAACATCGCCATAATTTTGAATATGTAGCATTTATTTCAGTTTTATAAAGTTTTTTATTTGTTAAACAGTTTTAAAATTTCCTTTAGACAACATGCCTGAAAAAAATATTATGGTTTGAAACTTAATAATAAAAAAAGACAGTCCTGCCACTCCAGAAGGTGCTGCTGTAGAGGCAAAAAAAAAAAAGAAAAAAGAAAAGAAAAGCCAAAAGCTAGAAAAAAACTTTGAAATTTTATTTTAACAGTTTAAAGACTTTTTTGCAGTTTTTTTTTTGTTGCTATAAATATATACGACAAGATTAAAAAAATTAAAAATATATTGTGTTAAGGGACGGATTTAAAATAAAGCATGTAATAGAAATAATGCATATAATAGAAAAAAAATCATTTTTAAATCAATCAGTGATGGGTCCAGAGAAGGAAAGGGGATGGGGTATGCATCCCCCCTTACCAGAATCTGAAAGTCCTTAAATATCTTAGAAATGGAAGACCTTTTTTTTTAAGGAGACACAAATTTGGTACAAAAATATTTCAAAATTCCCTTTTTTTGACTTGAACCCCCGAAATAACACTGATGACAGCGCATATAGCCATCAAAGAAATGTGCTTAGGAGCGAAACAAACCATTTTTAAATCTCTTTTAAAGTCTATGTATGAGGAAAAGGTGCACATCTTAATTTTTTCGGTCTTTAGGCAATTTTTTAGAATGTACTATTTTACTTAAAAATATTGAAGTAAATAAGGAATAAGTATAGAAATGCTCGGTGTGGAATAGATAAGTATAGAAATGGTTGGTTTGGTAAAGATCTGTGTTTTATGTGTCCAGACTGCTAAGATATATAAATAAACAGAAAGTATAGAAAAGGTCGGAATGAAATAGACTTACAAAGACACGTATTTATATGGGTCCATTTAGCTAGTATTTATTATTTCTTTCAGAAAAATATTTGAATAAAAATAAACTTTGATTATTAATGCTATTAACTTTTTTTTCAAACCTGGTTTACATTGTTTACAAGAAACTCATGTTTGTGTTCAGCACGAATGGCTTTCATCTCGCAAAGAGCATCCAACAGTTTTTCTTCTATTGTTTCAACATCAGGATTTCTGTAAAAAAAACCAGTCAATAATACTTAATAATAAAAGTAAATTTTCAAGATTGATGAATAGGTACTTAATGTGTACCAGTTATGTCAACATACAATTAAAAAAACAAGTACAAAACCAGTCAATAAAAAATATCATTAAACTGATTTAAGCTAAGCTAATTTTGTTTTAAAGAAAACATTTTGTTCTGTAATATTATAATTTATCACTATAATTTTGTATTCTATAATTTTGAATTTGAAATTTTTCATAAGTAGAAAAAATTAAAAGTTTATAGTATTTCTATAAAATTAGTATTTAAACTTTTTTTATAAATTAATTTTTATAATTTATAGTAAAATTTTTTTATAAACTTAACTTTTAAAATTGACAAATATATACATAATTTTTTTTACAAATACTTTGCATTTTTATATTAACCTAAAAATTACTTTATTAATTTAAGTGGATAAAAAAATTGAAAAAACTTTACTTTTGCATTCCTGAATAATTTGCACCACAATATGCTAACAATAATGCAACTTTTCTTTTTCTACTGAAATCTGCTTTGAACTCTTTGACAATATTTGGCTTTGCTTCAGTAATGTTGGTTTTAGTAGTGACAGTCTATTAAATACAAAATTCTAAAGCTCTTATATATATATATATATATATATATATATATATATATATATATATATATATATATATATATATATATATATATATATATATATATATATATATGGGTTCATATTTGTTATTTTTATTATTACTTTATTATTATACCAATTGTTATAATTAATTGGTGTCACTCATTTTGATCATAAGTGACACTCATGTCATCATATTATTTGTATTATTATAGATAATATTATTATTTTTAATTATTATTGTTATAGTTATTTGGTATCACTCCTTTGATCAGGCTTCTATTTGAGTGACACCTTCCTTTTTCAAATAATTATTTATATTTATATTAATTTTTCAAGGCATTATATTTGGATAAGATAGTTACATCATTCTTTTTTTCTGCCTTAAATGCAAAGTTATCAGCATCTTTTTGAAGCTGGATAATAGTTTTTTTCAAAGAGACAACCTTAATATTTATTTCCTGAATTTCTAAAGCAATCTCAATCTCTTTTTTATTCTTCTCCATGCTCAATTTGATTTTAGATTGATGAACTAGTGATTGTTGATATTTTTGACAAGAAGATTTAACATAACCAATTCTTTGACATGGGAAAACTGTGAGGTTCAAAATTTTTTCGTTTCATATAGTCCAATATTAATCGTTGAGAAATAAGACTTTCCATGTCAAGATTTTCAACAAGAAGCGTTTTGTTTTCAGTAAATCCTCACTCAACCTGACCGTGAGATAGAACTAAAACAATTTGGGCAACAGACCAAAGGGATTTATAGTTAGGATCAGAACCAATGTGCTTCCAGAGAAATGAGTCCAATCGATCTTTAGATTCATCAAATTCTTTGAATAGTTCTGTGTTAACTTTAACAAAATTTGACAAAAATTTTGAATACTCTTGTTTGGTTATCATTGCGGTTTCAAAAGTCAGCTTTTTCAAACCAACAAGGATTTCAAGCATTTTGTCTAATAAAACTGTTGATAATGCTGTCGGTTCCAACAGAACTTTTAGAGACAAACAAGAAGTACTTTGAACAAGATTATTTTTCAATATACTTTTTTCTGTAAAATGCGCACATAAACTAGACAAGAACTGTAAAGCGCCATACTGAAGATTGCGTAAATGACTATCGCTCAACTTTCCATTTTTTTTCAAAATTCTGAAATCATGTTTTATAGCAAAACCAAGATCAACAGACTCCAATAACACTTGATTAACTTTATCAGTAAAGTTAAATTTGAGCAGTTTATATACAGACTTTGCTTTTTCTAAAACATCCTTCCTCAAAAAGCAGCTGCACAAATTTTGAAGGACATTGTCTACACCTTTTCAAGATGTAAATGAGAACATGAAAGTTGTAATTAAGAAGTCGTAATATGTAATTAAGAAACACAACATGTAATTGAGAAAACGTTATATGTAATTGAGAAACACAACATGTAAATAAGAAGTCGTAACATGTAATTAAGAAACACAACATGTAATTGAGAAAACGTAAGATATAATTGAGAAATCATAATATGTAATTGAGAAATCGTAACTTGTAATTGAGAACACATAAATTAGATTAGCAAATTCACAGTCTAAGTTTGTAGGTTGTTACAAAAGGTCTTTTTGGACATGAATTTAAGTTATAATCTTAAATTTTGCTTTTGTATGCACAAGTAATAATAATGGAATTGAAAGGTCGTTGTGTTATATGCCAATACACTATGACCCGAAAGTCTGTGATTAAGCTAAATCCGTGTCAACATTTATGTCACCAAATTTGTTTATGTCCAGTTCTGGAACAACCAGATTCAAGTTGTCCGATTTGTCGGCATGAAATACACACAACTGAACAAGTTGAAAGGAAACGTTACGTTTTATCTTCTCCAAATGACAGGAGAAGAGTTGTTGAATGTGCGGAGCGATTTGAAGATTGGGTGAATCTCGCGCAAACGCTAGGTATCAAATATAAGACAGCATACAATTGGGTTCGCAGCAGAAATTCAAATTTCATCGGAAAAGGAGGTTTTAAACTGAAAAAGTTGACCGAAGATCAAATCGAAGAAACATTAACATGGATTGAAAATGATTGTCAATTAACATTGGTTGCCATCAAAACAAAGATATTAAGACAATTTAACATAAACGTTAGCACAACAACAATAGCAAATTACCTCGAAGGCAGATTATTCTCATTAAAAAAAGTGCACAAGGAGCCTTCTACAATGAACAGTTATGAAAACAAACAAAAAAGAGCTGAATATGTTAGAAACATCAACGAACATACCACAAATGGTCGTCAGATAGTTTGGTTGGATGAAACAAATTTTAACCTTTTTTGTAGAAAAACGCAAGGACGCGCGAGACAAGGAAAAAGAGCAATTATGAAAGTACCTGCTTCAAAAGGTTTAAACATACACTTGATCGCAGCTATTTCAACTACAAATGTCGTCATGATAGAAACTCGCAGGTGATCATTTAAAGCAGATTCCTGTAACGAGTGGATGTTGGCTATGTTTCTTTTTCCCTAAAATGTTTTTAGTGTTTATTATGTTAAATTCATTTGCCCAAAAATTATAAATTTTTCCCTAAAAAATTAAATTTACCACCAGTGGGTTACATCCGGGAATCGTTAAATCGGGAATCGTTAAATTTATCACCAGTGGGTTACATCCGGGAATCGTTTGGAGGATTTGGTCGTCGTAACAGATAATGCTCCTTGTCACGCTCGTTTGCAAAGGGTGTTTGATAATTCACCAGCTCAGTTGTTACATTTGGGACCTTACAGTCCAATGTTGAACCCGGTGGAAACGATCTGGTCCAAAATTAAAAGTAACGTTAAAAATGCAATTCGCATTCCAACTGTATTAGGTGACGGGATTGCGGAACAGCGCATGCAGTACTTAGAACGAATTGTAATTGAGGCGAAAAATACTATAATGGGAGGAGATTGTGCACATGCGGTACAACACACAACCACGCACTATGCAACTATTTTAAATATGGAAGACGTACAAGTTGGTGCTTAAATGATCAATGAAGTGATTTTTAATTATATAATTTTTAATTATAATTTTTAATTGAATTATAAATTTTTCCCTAAAATGTTTTTAGTGTTTATTATGTTAAATTCATTTGCCCAAAAATTATAAATTTTTCCCTAAATTTTTCCCTAAAAAATTAAATTTACGCTACAAATCTTGCGTCATTTTTAAGTGCGTCATTTTATACGCTCCATTTTTTTACGCGCCATTTTTTTTAAGCGCCATTTTACACTTACTCCTTTAAAGCGATATCTAAAATAAAATTTTCGTGTTCTCAATTACATCTTTCTATTTCTTAATTACAACTTACATTTTCTCAATTACATGTTACGATTCTTAATTACAATTTTCGTTTTCTAAATTACATCTTATGTTTCTTAATTACAACTTACGTTTTCTCAATTACATCTTACGTTTCTTAATTACAACTTTTGTTTTCTCAATTACATCTTACAATTCTTAATTACAATTTTTGTTTTCTCAATTACATCTTGAAAAGGTGTAGTGACTCGGTAAGAAATGGCACCATTGGATTGTTGGTTTGAAAAATAATTAAGAAATCATTTAATGATGTTGCCATTTCCTCAAAAAATCCAAGTTTCATTGGTATAGTGACATCTTTCACAGCTTTAGCAAGACAATCAAAACTGGTATTTTGTCCAGGCTTTCCGTTTCCAGGTTGCTTTGATTTTGGTAAGCCTTTTTAAAACTTTTCAACTTCAATTATCTTAGGCCAAATCATTTGGGCATGTTTAGAAACATTTATTTCAATCCATCTGTGTGCACAAAATTTAAGAGGGTAATCGGAAAAAGTAGCTGTTAGACATTCATTGTCAGCTCGGTGAGGAGACTCATCAAATATTTTATACAGAAAAAAAAGTAGTTTCTTAATATTCCAGTCAGTAGCCATTTCCCCAGTTTGGAAAAAACGATGAAGGGTATGGAGACTACATGTTCCGATATAAATTAATGGATCAAGTAGATCTTCTTTTCTTTTCTTATTTACCAGATTTAAAAAGGCATTTATTTTTTAATTTGTTGCTAAGGATATCTGACGGGGCTAATTTACATTAGCCCCGTCAGAAGAAACTTGGAGGACTTTATTACGATCCAAAGAACTTAAACAATTATTATATTTTAAAAAAAACATTACCAGCAGATACTTTACCCAAGAACTCAGAACTCCAATAAGATGTTTTTACTTCATTTTCTGTGTCATCCCAAAAACAAATATGTAAATCCATTTGACTTTTTTTAGAAATTTTGTTATAAGATTCATCAAATAATGTGGTATTATAAGGGACTTTGTTTAATTCGTTTAGAATTGTTTCTTTAACAAAAGGGGCAACACTGTGACATAAAATGTAACTGCATTTTGTTTTTCCACAAGTGAAACTTTGAGCAATTCGACTGTCTGGAAACATGGAGCAAAACAGCTTACTTTTTGATTCTGAAGAACGGTAAGAATACTTACATTTCAAAACTTCTAGTGACCAAATTACCTCTGCATTTAATATCTGATCTCTTGACATCATATCAATTAAATTTGTTTGCTTTTGAGCTGCTTTTTGTTCTAGTAGATTAGTTCAATCAGATAACCTTTTGAAAAAACTTGTCTTACTGCTATTAGATGGAAATCTTTTCACATGTTTCTTCCCTTTGGCATGTTGCTTTATTTTTTCTATTCCACTGTTTGGAATGCTAAATGACTTCGAACGAACTTTACAAAATGCACTTGCTTCATCTTTTTTATCTTTTTGCAACCAGCATTTGAACTCCTCTTCAATGAGCCACAAGTCTTGAACTTAATTTTATACTTATGCATTATTTATACTTTTCTAAACTAAACAAATAAATCCTTTATGGTAGACATACTAGAAAATAACTACATTCAAATGAATTTCTACACAGATATAAACTCTTTAAAATTGTTGTAAGAATAAGAAAACCT